GATCTCATTACGGTGAACTTCCTTGACCACCACCATCAAATCCAACCTAACAGTGTGCTGGCATGTTTTGAAAAGAGCTACAGGAAATCCATCCAATCCAAGTGCTATATTAGTACCTGGGGCGCAATCAACTCTCCTTCCTTCCTCCTCCTCGAATGGCCTCTCCAACCAAATCACTTTATCACTTTGAATAGAGTTCCATTCAATCCCTTAAAAAAAGGGAGGTACCTTCCTCATTATATACTTCTTGGTAAACTTTAGTGATATATTTCTCTATACCAATACTTTCCTACTCTAGGACTCCATTCTATAATTCCAACTTAATGGCGCTTTCTCCTTTGTGACTTTGTTCATTTGTTACCCAATGATACAAGCCCGTAGTAGTAGCCCTTTCCTTTTCTTGAATAATTTTTTTTTTATATAACAGTAGTAGCCCTTTCCTTAACCCACCTAATTATGGTTTTACCTCCAGCTCTGCTCTTCCTTCAAAAGCATAGCCTTAAGTTTATTTTTTAATTTAGATAACTGATTTATTTGAGTTTTAGAAATATTATTCTTGGATGCTGACTTATCCAATTGTATCATTTCCTTCATAATCTCTTTTTTTCCCCATACCTACTATCTAAACACTTTATCCAAATTCATATTTTTCCCCTTTAGGTATTGGGGTTTTTTCATTAATTTATATCCCTTCTAGTCCTCCACCTTGCCTTCATGCCACCATTCATTCGTCCTACTCTCGGAATTTGAGTGTTTCAAACATGTATTCTCAAAGCGAAAAGGATTATGAATCCATTTAATTTTTTTTGAGATAAAAAAGTATACGATGTATATTAAATTAACCACACCAGGGGTACCACCCATTTACAAGATATTTACAACTCTGTTAGTATATCAATGATATTTCCAAAATCTTCCATCCTATAAATGTCATGATTCAAAATTAAAGAACCAAAATAGTATATTCATCTATCCCTAGTTTTAGATATCTTTCCCTCAATCTCCTTGAAAGCTCTATTATTCATCTCTTTCTAAACTTCCCAAAAAAATAGTCGAAGAAATAAGATTTATAGATTTTTTCTTTTTGCATATCCCCTCCCAAGCCCATAACTCATCTGTCACTAGCCCCGTAATAACCCAATTAATCCATATTAAACCATATACCATTGTCCAAATATTGTACACCATTGGACACCAAAGGAGAATGTGATTACAAAATTCAACAGTTTTTTTGCACAGATAACGACCATTCACTATTGTTCTATCCCTTCTCATCAGCTTATCAATAGTCAGAATGCATTCTTTTCTCGTTTACCGAGCAAAAAAATTAATTCTTTGGAGAGTCTTCACCTTCCAAATCTGATTAGCTGGAAATCGGACCAACCCCTCCTCATCTCTTCCCACCAAATGATTATAAAAGGACTTGACAATAAACTCCCCATGGTTCTTCAATTTTTACACAGTTTGTTCCTTATTGTTATTGTTGATAAAGATTTCATGCTAAGTAGAATACTATATTATTTAGAGTTCTAATAGTATAATTATATCCTATAATTAGAGTTCAAATAAAATAAAGATAACTTGTCTATATATATTTTCTAAATGTAAGCAAAACATAAGTAATAAAAATTAAAAGTTTATTTTCTCCAAAAAACTTCATGGTATCAGAGCCAAATAAAATTATTTTAGAGATCTAATTTTAGAATTTTTCCCAAACCTTAAAATAGCACAATATACTAGGTTGGTAGCCTTTTATCCATATATACTCTCATCACCACCCAAAACGGATTTGAACCCGCTGATGTGTTTATGGTATTTACGGTGATTTTAAGCAGCAGTGGAGACTCTGATAAAAAGGTAGACGAGCCAAGCCGACTTTGGGCTGTTTTAGAGTCGAGTCTGAGCCGTTTCAGAACTAAACCCAAGCTATTTAGAGCCGAACCAGATATGGTTCCTGTGTTTTTGTCATCTTTCCAGTTTTTTTGGTCCTTTTTTGGCAACTTGGTGTAGATGGGAGGTCTCTTTTTCATTATTGGGTATTTTTTCTTCTTATTTTTAGCATTCTAAAATGACAGAAATAAAAGAGGTGAGTGTTATTAGTTTTGATAATTCTTCATTATAAATCAGTCCTATAAAACTTGATGGAACTAATTATCTTGGTTGGTTGAGATCTTGTTTATTGTCCATCAAATTTAGAGAACTACAAGATTACATTACTGGTGAGGTGAAGAAACCAGATGTTGGTAGTTTAGAATATAATAGATGGAACTTTAAGAGCTCATTGGTAATATTATGGCTCATAAATTCCATGCAACTTTATATTGGCAGAACATAATTATTACTTAACACTGTCGAAAAAATATGAAACGGAACATCTCTTACATATTTACAGATGGGTAATGACACCCAGATTTATGAATTTCGGAATAAAGTTCATGGTACAAAGTAAGGAGAGATGATTATTTCTCAGTATTTTTATGAAATAAATGGATTATGACAGAAGTTAGATTACTGTCAAGATTTTCAAACAAAGTGTCCTGCAGATGTAGTCAAATTTCAGAAATTGATAGAAAAAGAGCGAATTTATAATTTTTTAACTGGTGTGAACACCGAATATAATTAAATACGGGTCCAAGTGCTTGGTAAAGATCCATTTCCTTCATTACAACAAACTTATGTTTATGTTCAGTAAGAAGAGAATAGAAGAAATGTCATGCTTCACATTGCACCAGTTGAAAAGGCTGAAGTAGTTTCACAATCTGATTAATTTAGAGGTATATGGAAGTGTAACTATTGTGGCAAGCCAATACACACTAGGAAAACTTGTTGGAAGTTGCATGGAAAACCAATTAGAGGTTGGGGAGGAAGAAAAGGTGGAACCACAAGAGCTCAAACAAATTTTGTTGAAGCTAGGGAAACACCTGATTCACCATTCATTGGAGCCTTTTCTACAGAAGAAATTCAAAATCTGAAATGCCTTCTGAGTTGAGTTAACTTTCCATCAACTGTTGCCACATTAAATATGGTAAAATTAGGTATTGTTCATCCTATTTCCACTTCTAATAAGTGTATCATAGGCTCTGGAGTTAACAGACACATAACAGGCTCTTTTAAAGAATTCTTGACCTATTCTTCTTGTACTGACGGGGATAATGTCTTTATAGCAGATGGGTCATACATCCTCGTGTGGGGAATAGACTCCATTAATTGTACTACTACTATTACACTGTCTTTAGTTTTACATGTGTTTAGTTTTTGTGACAATGTTTTATCTATTAGTGCCATAACTAGAGATGTCAACTGTAAAATTAAATTTTTTCCTGATCATTGCATCTTTCAGGATCTTCAAATCGAGAAGAGTATTGACACTGATAGACTGCAAGGTGGCTTATATGTCTTGGATAAACATATGAATTTAATTGGAAATCAAACAACCATTGGGAATAAAGAAGTCAATATGGAGATATTACAATGGTACCAACGATTGGGACATCCTTCTTTTTTTGTTTTAGAAAAATTATATCTTAAGTTATTTAAAAGAACTTTTATGGAGTATTTGTTTTGTGATACACACGAACTTGCAAAATATAAGATGAGCTCTTATCATTTAAATAATAATTGAAGTACTGATCATTTTATGACTATTCACTCTGATGTATGGAGACCTACTCAAAATACCTCTTTTTCTGGTCATAGATGGTTTGTTACTTTTATTTACTGTTGTACTAGATTAACATAAATTTATTTGTTAAAAACAAAATGTGATGTATTTTCATGTTTTCAATCTTTTCACAAAATGATATGTACACAATTTGATATTAAAGTTAAGATTTTGCGAACTGACAATGGTACAAAATATATGGATAGTGGGTTCCGTGCTTACTTGGAGTCAGATGAGTTAATTCATCAGACAAGTTGTGCCTACACTAGTGAACAAAATGGGGTGGTTGAAAAAAAAAATAAACACATATTAGAGGTAACTCGGTCACTAATGTTCACCATAAATCTAACAAAGAGTTACTGGGGAGATGCAGTTCTTTCAGCTGTCTATCTTATTAATAGAATGCTTTTGCAGTTTCTGAATTTTAAAAGTCCTATGGAGGTTTTATAAAGAAAAAATTCCTACATTGTTCTCCCAAAAGTGTTTTGGATATGTGTGCTTTGTTCATACTAGAAATGTGGGTACTCTAGAACGTAGAGCTTTTAATTGTGTATTTGTTGGATATTCTTCTACCCAAAAAGACTACAGGTGTTATTATCTACCATGTAGAAAATATTTTGTAATTATGGATGTTACTTTTAGGAAGAATGAGTCTTACTTTAATTCAAATCCAACACCTTTTCGGGGGAGAGAGTGAGAAGGAAGAAGTGATACCTAATTGGGTAACGATTGAGAATCATATTCAGGGGGAGAATTCTATTACAGAAAGTCTTAATCAAGAAGATAATGTTGAACGTCTAGATAAACCAGACTTGAAAAGGTATTAAAGGAGAGAGAAGTCTAAAAACGCTATCATACAGTCTGTTTCAGGTTAAGAATCTTCTCTGGCTTCAGAAGATACTGGTGAGTTATTTTTCTCTTGTGATTTATTAGATAAACCTATTGCTATTAGAAAAAAACGAGAACTTGCAGTAAACACTTTATATCTAATTTTGTTTTCTATGACTCTCTATCTCCCTTCTAT